GGGGGGAAGGAGGAGGGGGACGGAGAAAGAGAGAAAGATCAATGATTAAAGTCATCATTGATTGGCTGCCTCCTGCATGCCCTCAATCAAGGATCAAGCCCAAAATCCAGGCATGTGCCTGGACCAGGAATTGAACTGCGATCTCCTGGATCCTAGGTTGATGCTCAACTGCTGAGCCACGCCCAGAGAGGCTGGAATCACTCGATTCCTCCCTTTCCCTCACTCATGTTTGATTCATTAGCAACAAAATGTATCTACAACCCATCCACTTATCTTTACTACTACTGTCCATTCAGTGGCTTCTAGAACACTTCAACTTACCAAGAATGCAGACTTCTTTTACCATTACTTTCTGTTTTCTAGACTTCAGCCACACTAGCTTCCTTGCTAAGCACAACAAACTCTCACTTCAGGATTTTGCCCTGCTATTCCCTTTGGTCTCGAAAACTACCCTTAACTTATTCCCATTCAGGTTTTAGCAGAGAATACCTTCTCAGTGAGGCGACCTTTGACCAACAACCAATATTTTGTCTTATCTGCCCCAGAACATGGCTTTATCCAAACACCCTTTCAATGTCCTTCGTGGAACATATTATGGGATATTATCTTTCCTCCTCTTTTGTAAAACTTATTCATAGTCTGTTCCCTCCACCAGAAGCAGGAGCCTTTGTTGTTCTTGTTGCTGCTTAATCTATTCCAGTGTGTAGAACAGTGCTAGTGACAGATGAGTAAATGAATAAATGAATAAACATTTAATAACCTACTAGGCATATCTGCTTGGTTGGTTCACAGGTACTTCTATTTCTACAAGGTTGTAAGAAAACTTTCTTCCTTCCCTAACATGTATTTCTCTTCCCTGGTATCTAATCTCAATGAAGGCATCAGCATCCTCCCAGCTGCTCTCCCAACAAACTTGGGAGTCATCTTTGATATCTCCCTCTCAGTCATGCCCTTATCCAATTGACCATATCACCAAGCTCTCAACCACTTTGGTCGTATTCTTCAGGCCTATCTGCCGCTATCTCCATAATCTCTCATCAATTACTGTTCTCTATGCCTTTGATTTCTGCACAAGTCATCTGTCTAAAATGCAACTCCAATGATGCTTCTATATAAATCTTTCGACTGCTTCTTCTTAGCTCTCAAAAGCTAATTCCTGCACATGACATTTCTGGCCTTCACAACTAAACTTCAGGAATATCTCAGGCACTCCTGAAACAGCATTCTTTTCTTCACCCAACAATTTCTCCAGAGTTTGCCTCTTAACCTTTGAACTTACTGCTTCCTCTGCCTGGAAGGCCCTTCTCCAATTTCCTTCTTAAAGCTAATTGCTTCTCCAGTCCCATTCCATTCCTCCCTCCCAAGGTAAGAGATTCCTGAGATGTCACAGTGTTCAACAGTTTACCCTCATTCTACTGATGATGCCTATTTATTTCTCGGCATCCTACAGCGTACGACCAATGAGGGCAAGGATGATAGAGAAACCATTAGCTAAATAAATTCAAATAAACTCAAGGTTAAAAAAAAAAGAGAATATGACCAAAAATTTGACAAATTTATCAACTGAAGCAATGAAAATATTAGATCAAAAGGAATATAGCCCCTATGTCATTCGCTCTGCTTCTTTTTTAGGCACAACGCTTTAAAAAGTTACACAAGGACTGTACAAATCTTTACTACATCAATATTACAAAAGAGTAAGCAGAGAAAAAGATTACTTATCCGAGCCCACAAAAGTCAGTGGGCAATATGGACTTAATTAAACCTGTCAGGTCTCCTCAATTCCTAGATACAGGATACCAAAAGTTGCACGGTTAGTAGGCTGGGTAAGCTGTGCGGTTGAGTCATTCCCAGGCTCCTGTATTAAAAACATCTCCCTGTGTGCCCGGCCGGTGCTCAGTTGCTTAGAACTTAGTCCTGCTAGGCTGTGGCTTTGATTCCCAGAGAGCACATACAAGAAGCATCAATAAGTGAACAACAAATCAATGTTACTCTCTCTAAAATCAATCAATAATAAAACACAAACATATCAGTGTGTTGGGTTTCTCAGATCGGCCCACGAAAATTAAACTCATAAGGCTTTACTTTGCAAATCACCATATCCAGATCAACTTTTACTACTGTCTTACTAAATACGACACAAAAATCTTGACATTCCGGCTACAAAAAAAGCACACCTCTACCTCTGGTGACAGTAATGCAAGGGAATTCAGAGAGCCGTTAGTAGGGTCTACGAAGTATGAGACAGCATCAGGACTTAAAAAAAAAAAAGGCTACAGTAATATATACGTCATAAACCTGACCAGCCTTCGTCCCTCCCCTCGTACCTCAACAGCGACTCCTGTCCCAGCCTGCCTAGTTGAATCTAGGGCCACTTTTAAGTTAAATCCTGGCTGCCCTTCCATCTCCCAGCACTCTGTTGGCGCCTCAGCTTAATCTCGGAGCCCGGATCCGTTTCTCAGCGTTTATGCCGGAGAGACACGGAGGTTAGCACGCGTACTTCAGTTTTCCAACTCCTAGTCCCCCGAGGAGGAGGCGGGAAAGCGCGGCGGCGGCGGCCGACTGCTCC